ACCTCCCACTAAAATACCCCAACTCTCACCTTTCATCCCTTAAGAACAGCCCAATCTTAATATTCTTGTTAGAGAACGCAAAACACAACCTTCCCCAGTCTCATCACAGATCCCTAATTCTAACTTTTCATCTTTAATCAAGGCATGTCAGATTTTTAAAATAGCCATCATGTAGCACACCAAGCAGAAGGAGGGTTCAACTCATGAGTGATCCCAAGTGGCCTCTGTCTCCATTATCCCCATTGCTCCTTGACAGGTCAAGGTGCTAGGTAAAATGTTATAACATTCAGGATACCCATATTCAACAGGCTTCTTCCCCCCAGTGATTGCTTCCAGATGGGAGGAAATCTTCAAAGTCCATGGCCCTCCACACATTATTAGGTCCTGCTAGTGCTTCCAAGAATCCGTAATCACCAGCACTCTATTTCATCTCCGTTTCAACATTTGGTCACAAGGATTTCAGAGAAGCTAAATTATATGGATGCAGAAAATTTCACAAATTACTTCTTGTTTCTAGAAAAAAAAATCCATATTGTTCATGTACCTTGGAATTATTTTTAATTTCCTCTGCAGAGTTTATACCCTTCCATCTGATACTCACCTCTCTCTCCCTCTTTTCTATATACACACAAGCACACATGCACACTCATGCCAGTAACATGGATACCATTTATTTTTCAGTCCTAATTTATTTTGGGGGATATTATTGTTAGTAATTTTCCAGGGCAAGCCTCTCACCCCACTGTGTAAGAAAAGCATTTATGTCATGTTGATCTCTGACCTGGGCCCAATCCCATAAAAGCTCGGAATATGTATCCATTCAATGAAAAGTATGGTGATTTTTCAGGTATTTTATGCTGTCATTCCTCATCTCCACAGCCCCCCTCCAAAAAAAAAAAAAAAAAAAAAAAGGAAAAAGAAAGAAAAAGCCTTTTGCCTAAGATTTGTATTTTTCTCATTGATGTATTATACAATTGACAGTATCATAGCAATAACTTAATTATTTATTTCCCATTCAGTTGTACAAAGAAGACCCTGTATCCTAAAACTGTTTATGGGGAGCGGGTGGGGATATCTTTCACTTAGATCAATCTGTATGTGTACTATGTAATTTGATATTTAGAAAGTGTTGGGGGAAAGTGTGGTGGAGTGTGGGAAGGAGCATCTAAAAAATACAACTTCATGCTGAAAATATTGGCTAAGGAAATGGTTCTCATGAGAGGTGAGACATGCTCTGAGCACCTGACTTTCCTGCCCAGGACACAGACTCTAGTCTTTACTAAAGTTGTCTGCTGCAAGGGTCATGTCTCATTTGTCCTCACATTGTAGAAAATCTCAAATGCAATATCCATAAAATGAGGGTCCATCTGGGAATGGGTAAAAAAGAGGGAAATTGCCTTTTTATCTTTTCTTTGCTCTTCTGTCTGGTAACAATTTAAGTTTGAGATACCTACCGGCAGATTTTCACAGAAAAATGTTCTGCAGAAAAGCTGTCAGTTTTTACTCATCAAAAATAAAGCAAAGCTTAATAGAGAGATGCTCCAGTGCAAACTACTTGGGTTTATCTATCCATTTCTGGAATCATCATCCCATTTCTGCCTTCACCTGGGCTGGGGCCACTCTGACCTTGGATCTAACTTTTAAGCAAGAGGATGGAGAAAATTTCTTTGTGGAAATTTTAAATTGTAAACATTGAGAACAGAGGCCATAGATTTGATAGACTCCATCTGTAAAGCAGCAGTTAAAGGCAAATGGAACACCATTCACAGCTGATTTACTTTACCCTAAAATGCATTTTCTGTTCTCCTATATAGACTGAAATAAGACTACATTGAATATACTGATATCCTGAATTTTCATAAACCTTTTTTTAAAAAAATACCATTTACAGATTTTTAAAAATTTTATCTGCTGTCTTTATTATTAGAGTTTATAATTTCTCAGTGACTCCATGAAGACCTCAAATATGCAGAGTCTGGAGAGATCAGAAATCAGAAGAAAGTTGAGGATTATAATTTACTAGAATGGATTGTCTTAAAACAAGACTTTGGCCACCTAGCTGTCCTCTTCTCCTTTGAACACCAGCAAAAGTAATTTATAAACAGCAAAGGAGTGGAAAGTTTTTCTGGACAAAGTGTGAAAGACTTTTCTGGGTATAATGTTTCAAGGGTTTTGTTCTTCCTGCCTCTTCTTCCCTCCCTGGGAGCTTTTCAAATCAGTATCTCATTTTGGAAATAGAGCAACCAGTTTTAGCCCTGAAAGTCTTACATCCCAGGAAATGCCCATCCCAAGCAAATCAGAACCCAAACAGTTGATCACCCCTAGGTGGTGGGTAGAGGGTTCCTTAGGTCCTTTTTCTCTAAGGTTTTTCCAGAAATCCACCAAGTGGGCTTGATGCCTTGGAAATAACCAGGCTCTTGTCAATGCATGGCATGTGCCTTGACATTTCATGGCAGGTTTTCTGCCATTTACCCAGGAAAGGGATATCAGCAAGGATAATGGTGAAGCTGAATGGAAGGCAGAGAGCTGGTCTGTGCTTTCCTTCTGTCATGGAAGAGGAAGCAAGCACAGAGGGCTTTTCCTGCAGAGAAGATGGATAGCATTCACTACCTTTCCAAGCTTATTCTATAGTCACTGGGTCCTGAAAGTTACTCAGAGCTGACAGAATCCTTTTTCAGGCTCATCTGTGTGTCTACAGCAGGGGGGTGAACTGTACAAAATTATCTGTTTAAAAAAAACTCTCAAGTTTACCTGTCTTGTAATGAATAAGTGGCAACTAGATGAAACTTAGAAAAATGAAATCATATTGTGATCTTAAAGATTAGGCTCAGATTCTGATATTTGACTATGTGTGTGTAAGTATACGATGATGTGGAATGGTGGGGGTGCAGACCTTGGAGCAGGATAGAGTGGGAAACACTGGTTATATAACATGCCCTTTTTTCCAAATTTTAGGTAAATTTTTTTCATAATACAAAAGGTGGTAGTCATTACTGGCAATAAATGAGGATTTGTAAGTCCAGTATGGACTGAATAGCCTTGTGGGTATATACTAAGTCATTAGAGAGAAGGCAACTATAGCTTTCCAAATACAAAATTCTCGGCACCATCAAAGTCACCCTGGGACTCCAGATTTTCCCTTCTTCCTTTGGTGGAAACTTGACCTTTACTTTCAAGAGAGAGCTATAATGAATTTGTCAAATATTAAACTAAGAAAGTCACTTAAACTCCTGAACACCCAGATACATTCCTCCTGTCCTTTCCAACACTTGGCCAGAGGACTTTCCTCCCTTTGCTCAGACTTTATGTAACTTATTAATTTTATAATTCAATCCTTGAATTAAAATATATATTGAATGAAAATATCTACATATCTATATCTCTATATAAATAAATATTATATATGATATTTTAAGGGATTTCAAGTGAAATAGGCATTAATTTAGGATTTCCTGACATCAAAAAAAATGAGGCTTGCAAAAAAGGAAAAGGAACTGTAGATACATTTTGAACTTTCTATTAGGTATGGTGAACAGCAGAGGATTTCAATCATCATCAGATATTTTTTTTCAGGAATAATCCAAGTATACAAAGTGGAGGAAATAATGACAGCATATTTTTTACTCTTGGAAATCATGCTGCCTGATCTGGCACTATGAAGCTTAATCAACTATCTTAATAGACCTTTAAAAGCAACATGATTTAATCCTATCGCATCAGGTGCCATAATTGGAAACCAAAGGCATATGATCCTTTTCTTATATTTTTCTTTACATGATAGGATTCTTTTTTTTTTAAAGAGACAGCGAGAGAGCGGTAGAGAGCGAGAATTTTTAATATTTATTTTTTAGTTTTTGGCGGACACAACATCTTTGTTTGTATGTGGTACTGAGGATCGAACCCAGGCCCCACGCATGCCAGGCAAGCGTGCTACCGCTTGAGCCACATCCCCAGCCCCTACATGATCGGATTCTTGCAGGGTAAGTTGCTGTGAACATGTAAGACCAGAATGGTTTCAGAAAAAAGAAATAGAGAAAAGAGCACATCTTCTTTGCTAGAGCACCTGCAAACATGAGCTCATAAGATATTGGCTTCATGTCTATCAAAACAACCCCCCAAAATGCAGGCATAAGGGGAAAAAAAATAGCTGCAGGTATCAATCATGTGTTGCACAGTGCATCCATCAGTAGACTGCTGAGAGAATTGTTCTCACCCAGGACACTTGACCTATCAAGTTCCAAAGGTGGAGGCCAAAGGCCGAACTCCAAGAATGTTTCAAGGTCTTTCTGACTGCTCCCAGGCAGAAGTACCACACTGTAGCTTGAGCAATGAGAAGCACATCTTGTGACCAGAGAACCACCCCTAGAACCATCTTCATCCTAAGCACATTCTTCTGAGAACCATCTCAGATAACTCCTATCACATTTTTAGTCAGCCTCTCTCACACACAAAGCCCCTCGCCCAAGAGACTTCTGTCAATGGTCAGGATGTGGCCTTTCCTTTTTTACCTGGATGGTGTTCTACAGCTACTTTTTCCTTCAATTGCATCAACTTTTACATTCTTTTCCTTGTTCTCAAGTTCTAAGACTGCTAAGACTCAGATTCACAGAGATGATTTTTGGTCTCTTTGGGAAGATATATTTCTGCAAGCATCATGCCATTTACAAAGCATATGGCAGAAGGGAACCTTAGATAAGGACGGTGACTGAAATTGCATTAAGTTTTGCTTTGGCAAGGACTTCAGATGGATGCCTTTAAGATGAAATGGGTCTCCTCCAGCCTTTTCTTTTATGCATGTCTCCAACAGGTGTTTCCTGTAAGGCATATATCTGTTTTCCATAACATCAGAATGAAGAAAGATGTTTGTGACAGCTTGTGTACATAGATCATGTTTTCATTATGATAGAATAGTGTACGGTGATTGATTTACTATTCTAAGTCAAGTTAGAGTGTTCTTGGGACATCATCTTCCATTTTCAAAATGGGCATTTAATTACCAGACCAAGGACTCTTCATCATAGGAGTAGGGGGAGGGTGGAGATTAAAAGAAATTGAAAAAAAGCTGAAGAAAGTAACAAGAAGGTAAGTAGTATTATTCCCCATGAACTCAAATGGAAAGAGTAGAGAAAAAGTAAGCCCTTTCAATGAAGATAAAATAGAAATTTCCAAAATGTTTTCAAAGTATCCAGGAAAGACCAACTTGGGAACATTATGTAAACACATATTTTCAGAAATCTGAGGGATAGTGTCTAAGAAGTTACTTGTGGAGAGAAAAAAGGTTCTATGAGTAATTCAGCCAGTTCTCCAAATCCTGTTAAAAAAATCAAAACCAGATTCAGGTCTAAGGTGTGTTTCCTTGTGAGACCCTTTCACAAGCTCAGCATAAAGGCACCACCATGGTTTTGTCTAGTACCATTCAGAGAGCCATGGGAGTTAAAATTCAGTACTGGGGCTCATGAATTATTGATATTTAAACCACCAATCATATTAATTCAAATGAACAAAGAATCCATTTTAGTCAAGCTGAACTTGAGGCTTATATTACATCTTCTGGATGGTTAAATGACTAGAACCTACTAACTCCACTACATTTATAAGTAGGTCTTAAGTGCAGAGGTAGACAAAGGAATTGATCAAGGTCTTGTCTGATCTCCTTAATAATTGCCCTCTGCTTTTCCAAACTTTTCTCTAGAGCTCCACCCTCCCTACTCAGGTTTTGCTGCTCAGGTTCCCCCTCCCTCCCATGACTTTTGGTCTGAAACTTCTATAACTTTGAATAAGCTCTTTTATCTGAAAAATTGTGACTATCTAGGCACTTTAGCGCTCACAAAAACTCCTAAAACTCCATCCAGCACAGATGACATTAGGTTGTATTTCTCCCAAGAGGTACAGGAAAATCTCACAGGAGAGTGATGTCATAAGCTACTGATTACCAGGGCTGAAGGTTTAGTGTCATTGATATGTCCCAAAAGGTACTTCAGCAATTAGTAACAAATATTTTTAAATAATTAAATCAATTAATCAAATGAATAAATAAATAAATAAGTAGATAAGTAAAAAGAGTTTTTGTTAGATAAATTTGTGAAGCACTGGATTATACAATTTTTAAAGGGTTTCTTCATTGTATGACTTTTGAGGACCTTTCATATGCTAAAGTGTAGAGTGAATCTCAAAAAGGGATTTTTTTTCCAAACTTCAGATACAGAAAACATTCCTCAAAACTTTTCCAACTACTGATAGAATATATGGTATATGATTAAGGGGAAAGGTATTTGTGTCAGTATAGAATGAACTTATGCTTACTTAGCAAGCAGGAAATCTCTGAGGGCTTAGCATGATGAAGGCTCCAACACAGGTCAAAGAGGCACAGATTCTACTCCCCGTAACCACTCATGCACCCAGGCTGATCTTCTCTATAGCAGGTTAGGACAGAGTCTGCAAAGTCACATGAGGGCTTTTCACTATCTCAGTCATCCTTTCTTACATTTCACTGGACAGAACTTGTCATGTGGCTCCATATAACTGCTCAGGAAGGAAAGGAGAATGGGGTATTGTGAACACTTGTGACTTTGATCTCAGCATTATATTCCTGAGCTGGTTTTACTATTTGTCAGCTCTTTCCTTTTATCTATAAAATAAGGGGGGAGGTCCTTAAAGTCTCCAGCAGAGATGGAAATGCTCACCAAATATGGCAATTGTTTCTCATGTCCCCCAGTCCCCTTAAAGTTAACAGGAACCATGTGACTGGTTCTGGCACCATGTGAGCAGAAACTATGTGTGTCACTTTGGCAAAAACAATTAAAAGCCTAGGCTTGGTTTTCCAGTTCTTTCCTCTTCTACTACACTAAGAAGGATGCATGTGGCCAAAAGATGGTAGAGCTTCTTGTTATCCCAAGGCTCTGAGTGACTGTGGGAAGCCAAGGCACCTGTTCCCCAGAATAAACTATACAGTACACTGAGAAATAGCCTGTGCTGTGTTTTGGCCCCTGAGATTTTGAGGTTGCTTATGCAACCTAAGCCTAGTTTTACCTAGCCTATCTGGGTCGATTCTATACCCTAAACTTTCTGACATTCTAGAGTTTTTTTTGTTGTTTTTTTTTTGTTTTTTTCCGTTCTCTAATAAGCACATATGCATGCCTTAACAGTTGAGTGGGATTTTCCAAGAGATCATCAAACTCTTTCAGTGGCTGAACATACTGCAAAGCAGTATTGTGCCTAACTTCAGTGTGGGGCTATCAGGTGGAGGCCTTTCCCAAGAGTAGATCAGGATCAGAGCAAAGCCTAGACAAATGCAGGGCAATAAGCGAAGCTGTAAAGAATGCAAAGTGCATTTAGCAAATTGGGAAATTTCAATAGGGACCCATGAGTAAAAAATACAGAAAGAAGACAGGAGAAAAACAGACTAAGGAAAAGGGCTACACATAATTCAATCTCTTACAACCTTTTAAATTCTTTATCAAGGTGCCAAAAACACCACTCATGATTTCTGCCAAGCAATAGTGGCATTATTATAGTAACAAATAAAAAAAAGGAAAAATAAAATAAAATAAAATAATATAAATCAAAAAAAAAAATAAGAATAGAAATAATACCTTCAAGGCATGTCTAATCTAAAGAGAGAGCTGGATTTTTTCCCCCTTTAGGAGTTAGTGTTTCTTCAGCCAAGAGGTAGTCTGGGCAGACTCTACTTTGGGCTCCAGGCTCTGATGAGTTTCACAACTTGGCTCTTTACACTGGAGCCCCAAATGGTCTCAAACTAACTTTTCATTCTCCATATTTAGGACTCTTCTAGGCAATACAGAACAAGAACCTGACAAACTTGATGGCTCGGGCATGTTTCACTGGTGCAAAGCAGTCCCCTTGGAAATGGTAACTTTGGTAGGTGATCTTGCACCACCTATCAAATAAAATAAACTATCTGTCAGGGAAAAGGATGTCATTCTTCTGATTATAAGCACCTGTCATTTTCCTTTGTAAATGGTGAATTTGCAAAATGAAATGATATGCAATATAATCCCTGAGACATTTGACAAAGACTGCGGGGATAATACGGTGGGATTTGAAACACTTCGATTTCTTCAACTGCACCTCCTGTTTTAACACTTTAGCTGACTCAATTATTTAGAATAATGCTCTTCTGAAACTTTGAGGTTTTTCCAGTAAATCTAATTCATTTAGATCCACCAGGAAAACCTACCGTTTACAAGGACTATGCAGTCATTCCTTTGTTTAAAATAAACAAACATCTCCCCCAAATTACTGGATTTGAAATGTTACTTTTAGAATACTTTTTTTTTTCTTGAAGCTGGCCCTGCTTCTATTACACACACTAGCCAAAATATGTATTTCTTATATATAACCTGGGCAAATTCTATTAGATATGGTTCTGTCCCTCCTGCTCCTCTCAAGGAGAAAAATTAATCAGTTTACTGAAATGCTAACAACCAAGTTGTAAGAAGCTTTGCATCCTAACCCAGGCTCTTACATCTGTTTTCTGGATCCCCATCTATTCCCATTATCCAGAGTTAAAAACTCAAGCATAATTTCAGGTTTTTTTTTTCTCTACAAAAGTAACTGATACGTTTAACTAATAAAAATGATTGTTTTCATCTGTATGAACCCTATATGATTTTCTTCTCTATGACTAATTTATAATTATAATTTTTTTTGTTCCTTTCCAAAAGTAGTTTAGTTTCTTTTTCCTTACTCACATTCACATAAACACAAACATCTTTGTGGCTCAGTGCCAATGTCCTGACAGAATATGTTCCAATTTCTGTAAAAGTATGATCAATCATTTAATCAGAAGTATCAAATTGTCATAGCTGTCATATCAACTGGAAGACTATTAGGGTTGCTGAAACACACCATTTTAGCAATTAGGTCTTATTCTAAACTATGCAAAATAAACATCCGTTGAGCAGGAAGCCAAACATGTTTGCAGTGGGAGGCAAATCTTTAGAAAGAAAGGTGAAGAAATCGAATTCTGATAAAGGCAGCCAAGAGACCAAGAAAGGGAAATAACATTTAATTAGAACATATTTATTAAGCACAAATTGCCAAAGACAGATATTTCCCTTATGATACTTGATATGGAATATAGGTCACTCAGAGCAACCACTGAGTCCTTTAAGTGTAGAAGGCCTTTTAGTTTTAGAAATGCTAAGGGTTTTAAAACTTGTATCTGTAAGGGAAAAGTTTCCAGACTACAAAATTCAAGAAGGCTTCAAACTTGGTTCTATTTGCAGAAGGATCAAGCAGAAATATTCAGTTTAAGCTACTTTGAACAAATAGTACATCCTCTTCTTCCCCCCAAAAGCCACCATCTTTCTTAATTGGGAGACAGTTTTGTGCTACAGTTTGTTAAAGAAATCGCCTCTCTAGCTGTGCCCATAAATGCATTCTGCCATGTATCTTGTTTCTAATTGTTTAGTTCTCCTCAGAAGAGTAATTGTTGGACTTCAGGCATGTTACATTAAATACCATTAGAGGCTTCATTATTCAAGTTAAAACTAATCAGATTAACTGCAGACAATTATTTAATAGATTTGGTTAAGATTCATATCACTCTCTAGCAAAGCTCTCCAGACAAATAGTTTTATTTCCCCTCACAAGGAGATCCCCTTAGAAAGAGAGTATTTCCCAGTATTTGCTAATCTGATCAACTTTAATTGGGGAGATGTCAGATGCTACTTATTTATCCTGTTAGACTTTGTCAAGCCCTGTTTTGTAGAAGTTTGTCATTTGACCTGAAAAACAACAGGCATAATAAAGAAAAAGAACAACATATCCATTTGAAATATTGTACATCTTTATGTGCCTAGGAATGTAGAACATGCTCACATGTGAAATTCAAATGCATTTAACTTGTTCTCTACCAGCTTCCCAATGTCCCAGTAACATTCAGATTGGATCCATAGTTACAAAACAACTGTTAATCGCTCAAGCACTATGCTTTCAATATGTTGTTTAATTCCCGCAACAAAATTAATGTTTATTTTTATGTTTTACCATTTGAAACATAAAGAAATTGAGGGTCAGAGAAGTTAAAGTGACTTGTTTATTCACATGGCTAGGGATAGAGCCAGAATACCTAGTCGAGTCTTCATGTTCACGTCCAGTGCACTTTGCATTCCATCTCAACACCATAGACGAGGCATCACCCATTCCCTGAAAGACTAGACAGATGCCTAAAATAAGTTTCCTACAGAAATATCAATTTTTCACTTACACTTGCTTTTATGAGTCTCTATGAAGGAGGAGCCCTAATCTCAATATATGTCCTACAAATTATATTATATTCATCTTAGAAACAGAAGTGATGTTAATAATTGACGTGTTTAGGATCAAATGGCTTTTTTGTAAACTTTCTTTTGGGTGCTTGGCATGATGAATTTCCTTGACTCAGGAAAGTTTATTGAATCAGTTCCATGTATTAGGTTGAGCCATATGAAATGGCCAATACTCAACCATTCTTGACCTGCAAAAATGCAATTCCATGTGGTTCAAACAACTGTATGAAAAACCACTGAATGACTCAACATATTATAAACTTAATATAATTTTCAGGGCTCTCCAGCAGACTTAAGCTTGACAATGGAATTTGGAATATCTCAGCTTTTCACAATCAGACTATAGCACATATGAGGCTAAACACAAATAATAAAAATTAAGAAATATTTTCCCTATTTGACCCAGTGGTTTTACATTTTGAAAACTAATGTTGATCTGAGTTTTACTTGATTCACTCTAGGTTGATAGGAAACTTAAAGAAGAAAAAGGTGAAATAAGAAGTAATTTCACAGAAAAGACACAAATTATAATTGCACCACTTAAGCCTAAATTGCATTTTTATAAGCAATTTTCAAAACTCTATTAACTTTACGAAGGTACCACTGTGGATGTACCTAGACAAGTCAGGATGAGAGTAGGTGTCCTCCTTGAGGGACTCTTATCTTGTTTATGAAATGACTCAATTTTGGTGTGCTTATCCTTAGAAACGATCTGAAAAGTCAAAACATGATTTTCGGAACCACATCATAGCGTGCATATTTGGAGATGCCCACACAGCCCTGATGGGGCTTCGGAACTTTGTGATGCCCCTAAGAGCTAGCAACTATACCCGGCAGGAGCTGAAAGACATTGTGTTCCTTGGGTCTCTGGATTACATGCAAAAAGAATGGCGATTTCTCCGGAATTTCCCCCAGATATATATTCTGCCTGTAAGTATCATATAAGGAATAATAAATATTTATAATGATATTAATACTAGAATTAATAACACAACAGTTTGCAATTGTATTCTGCATACCAAGGGCCAGAACTGTTCTAATTATTTTTAACTGTATTAGTTCATTTAATCTTCGAAATGACCCTAGGGGATAGATATTAATGATGTTGAACTTCAAGTATGGAAAGAATAACTAACTTGCTGAAGATAACACAGCAATTTAAAAAAATAAAATTTATATGTAGACATCATGGTTCCCGGGTTTTTGCTCAAACTACCATATTTTATGGTCTTTATACAAAGAAGAGTTTCTCTGCATTTCTGAGATTGACTCTTAATGGCCAAACCTAAGCCAATAGTCTTTGCACTCTTTCTCATCTTTTGTGGAGACATCTCATATGGAACACACTGTGCTACACGGTCCCGTATAAGTGTAAGAAATGTTGGAATTGGGTTTACATTTTTGAGATATAGATTTTCTGTAATTTGAATATTCTTCCAAAACTCATGTTAAAATCTAGTTGCCATTGTAACAGTTTTGATAGGTGGGACCTTAAATTGATGATTATGTTAGTAAGGTTCTGTCCCATGAATGGATTAAGTCTGTTGTCATGGGTGTGGGATTAGTTATTGTGAGCATATGTTCCTAATTAAAGATGAAGTTTGGCTCCATCCTCTCTTGTGGGTGTGTGAACTCTTGCCATTTGATGCCCTCCACCATGATATGATGCAGCAAGAAGGGCTTCACTGGATATAGGTCTTCCATCTTGGATTTACCGTATTCTATAATTATGAGAATTGTCTTTATAAGTTACCCAGTCTATGGTATTGTGTTGTAGCATCAGAAAACAGTCTAAGACAAGATCCATTTAGACAGGATGCTTATGTGGTATTGTAGTTCCAATCTATTTCATTACTCTCATGGGTTTTATCCAAATGTATGCTGCCATTTCCCTAGATAAAAAGCATTCCAAAGCATTTGGAATTTTTCTAAAATAATGTTGGCAATATGTAAACAATATTTTTCAAACTTCAAAAAGCTTTCTCTCAAAAATCAAATTACATTTGCTCTGTTAAAAAAGACATCACAGGGGCAGGGGTTGTGGCTCAGTGGTAAAGCATTCATCTAGCACTTGCGAGGCCCTGGGTTCCATTCTCAGCACTACATAAAAATAAATGAATTGAAGGTGTTGTGTCCAACTACAACTAAAAAAATAAACATCTTTAACAAAAAAGACATCACAAAGTTCTCTGTTCCACCTCCCTTGCTTCAGTTCATATGATGAAGAAAAGAAAATGACTAAAAGTCTCATATTCAGCTAGAATTAGGTATTACCAATATTAGATTCCATGTTTCCTGAAGGTAGATAGAACTAGATCATTCCCTATTTATCCACTTAAGGAAAGACGTAACTGCCATGTTGCTGGTTAACCCAGAGCATACATATAGGCTGGGTTACTAGCAAGATTGCAACCATGCAAAATTTTCATTCAGATCCATAACCTCTCCTTTCTCTGAATGTTTTCTCACTATTGTCACCCATACACTACTTCTTTTCTCCGACTTAAGTCATGTAAATGAATTCTTGCTTTCTCCGCACTGCCTGCTTTTATCTCATCCAAACTTGCTCTCTGGGAAGGTCTTTGAAATCTATTCACAACAAGGTATTAATGATTAACATAAATATGTCAGATATGAAGTAAATAAGTATTTAGATCAAGCCAGTAGATGCTGGAGATATTTGAGTGTGAAAATCACATCACCTACAAAGACCCACCACCATGAGCCATGATATCAAATCCTTTCATCTGAAAAGTTCCTTCTCAATCTGGTTTTCTCTCATCAGGGATCTGCACTCTATCCTGCAGACCTACAGGCACTCAACATAGAGAAATGTTCCATGTGTGCTATCTTAGCACCCTCATCTAAGCCATCAAGCAGCCAGACTCTGGTAGACACAGAGACCATCATGGCCACTCTCAATATCGGATCACTGCGGATTGTCACCTCTACTGAGAAACATTCAACAAAAGGTCAGAATAGCACTCCTGATAGGAAGAGGCTAGGAAAGATGAAATAAGGACAGAAAACTAACTCCTCTCTGAAATACTTTCATTATGAAATACAAGAGAGGTTGGTTTAGATATCCTCAAAGATTCCTTTCAACTCTGACAATACTGTAATAGGAGTAGCCTACAATTATTTTCTCTGAAATTCTAAGTCAAATGAAGACCAATATCCATCTTCTAAAAAAATTCATGTAACACTGTTTTCCCATTTTAAGAAAAGAAATCACAGAATTTTAAATGCTATTATTTTTGTTGTTATTAATCTAATATCAGTGAACCTAGAAATTGGCATGTTATAATTAATAACAGTATCATTATTAATTATTTTTCACTGAATCTATAGATATTCAAGGTACAACTCTTAGTTTCATGGTTGAGAAAAGGAATTGTAATTATCTTTTACTCTTCAAGATGCTTCAATGTATTAATTTCAGGAAATTATCTTAAATGTCCTTTATACACTGTCCCATTTCAGAATCAGATTGGAAAGAAATAGTAAGAGAACAGAGGGGATCTCTTTAGGGTGGAGATCATGTATTTTCCTCTGTGGATTCCTCCTAGCACCCTTACAATTACTATCATTTAGTAGATGCTTAAAAAATGCATATTGAATTGCAGTAAATAAGCTAGGGGGCTGGACCAAAATGTGACTGAGATTAATCCCCACCACAAAGCTGTGATTTTCCTTCTTCCCACTAACTGGGAAAAGTCCTGCACCTTAGTATCTCTCCAAAAATTGACCACCACTCAACTGAATGTGAAAGTACTATTACTGCAGAATATTCTATATCTAAAAGAGACTTACAATTCAAGAAATAAAAATAAAACCTGATTGAAATCACTTCAAGATGAGACACTGGGTCCTCAGGCTACATTGCTGCTGACCACAGCTAATCCACCTTGTCTGGAGTCAGAAATATCAATGACAGTGTAAGGCTCTCCATGATTATGGCTGTGGATAAAAATGTTCACAACTGGGAAACCAAAAGAACCCCCCCCACCACCTCCCAGGTACTACTGTTAGTCAGGAACATAAAAGGTTTGGGGGACAAAGGAATAAAGGGACAATCTAAACTTTGGTAGCTGAACAGAGCTGGCTACACATCCCCACTAAGCAATCAAATCCAGCTCAAGATTTCACATTCAGAGTTTTAAGGTGTTTTTTTTTTGAGAATAGATCTAATAAAAGAGTACCACATGAATATCAAAGTGTCATACACAGCTCAAGTGAGGAGATGTGAGTCTTTCTTCTTTTGAAAGAATCAGAAGATCTATAAACGGGCTATTGTGTTGTGCCACAGGATTCCTTAGCTTAGCAATTAGAGTCACTCCTCATATTCACACATGATGTGTGTGTGTGTTTGTGTGTGTGCATGTGTGGTTGGGTGCATGCATGTGCATGCATACTTGCAAGTGGATAGAGAAGATGTGTTTGAAGGCAATATCATGCATATAGAAATTAAAATGTGCACACTATGTAAACTTGATGTAAACTGACACCATCATAAGTTATCTTGTTAATGGGCTAGATGAATAGTCCTTCCTATTATTATTTTTTAACCTCACTTCCTCTATGTGCTAGAAAAGCATTAACTTGTGATCCTAATTCTGGTTTCCCTATATTTAGTGATTTTCACATATTTATTTATTCACTCATTCAACAAAAATATGTAGATTTTGTGTGATGGGTCAGGTACTTTGTTACAGTCTAGAAAGTAGCCCTTAAGGTACCAATTGACTGGTTTGGTAGAAGGAGATAGAGGAAAGAGTGGGATAGGAATAGAAAGAGGAAGAAACAAGGAAGGAATGTCAAAGTATTTGAAAGATCATAAGGTGTGAGCAGGCAATTTCCCCAAAGATAAAAAGAAAAGTACCTTGTAGGCCTTGCACCATTCCTTATATAAATGGGATTTTACCCATCAGAGGGATGATAAATTTGGGTCTACATAGACTCTAGCAACCTACCTGGCAAAGGTCATCAAGTCTGTTTATCTGGTAGTAAGCCATCAGTGAAGTTTTAGTATGAGCACATTTTGAGGAGACACATGAATAATTACTCAGGAATTTCACCAATTTCTGTAGCATCATAAGAGTCCGTCTGGAGTTTGAATGTAGAAATTTCTAATCCTCAGAGAAGCCTCTTAATCAGTCTTGCCTTTCCACATTAATAATCCTCTTGCACCATATTGATTGAAGAGGTGTAAACTCTCCTCCAAGCATTGAAAATATGAAGGATTGTGCAATCCCTCCTCACTGAGTACCTCGAGGGGTGTTTTCTTTCCCTTTCCTTCAGTCAGTGGTTCTCAGCCAAGGGCAGTTTTCCCTCTGACAGTGTATGGTGACAGCTTTGATTGTCACAACAAAAGGGATACTTCCAGTATTTAGTTGGCAGAGGACAAAAATGCTACTGAACCGTTTCCAACTCAGAAGGATAGCTCCATATGATAAAGAAATGTCATCAGTACTACGATTGAGAAACCTTGTCCCAGCATATTTGGTGAGCCTTTTTGTGAGGTCATTGGGCTTGTCCACATCTTCACACCATGACAAACTCACATATGAAGTTAAGTTAGGACAGAGATTCATATAGCATGTTAGGGGAGAACAGAGTAAGAACTCTGCAAAGGTTCCTAAGAACACCAGGCTTCCTGGACATCTTCATGGCAAACCCAAAGGTTTTTCAGTAATGCTCTAATTATTGCCCTGTCATGTCACAAGAACAGGTTGGCAAACCTAGGTACTGAACTAAATAATCTGTGGCATAATCTAAACATATAACGGTAATTAAGTCTGACAACTTAATACGCGACTGAAATTTAAATGTACAGTAGTAATCTACAATTAAGCAATCTTTTGTAATAGCACCCTGCCAACCTGGAAGATTTCAGGTATAATACGATGTACTATTAGGCAGCAAAAATATTGACATTAGTAAAATATACTCAGGCTATGATCTGACGCTTATTCAAATTAACCATCGCTCTATAAGGGAGACAGAGTTGAGGTGGAAATTCCGTTGCTGTCCTTCAATCAACTTTGGAAACAGATGTTTTATGCAGTCACCTTAGCTAAAGTGGATGTTTCTGCACACACAGAGCATTCTACTCCAAGTAGAATTCCCAAGTCCTCTCAGCAGGGAACTGGAGTGAGAAAGTAGGATTCAAAGGAGGGTTTCCCCACTGAGATGTTTCCCCTTTGAGGGAAACTGATCCCAATATTTTACTAAGGCCAGCTACACGTTGCATACCTAATAGAGGGACAAAGTAGGTACTCTGAGAAGGACATGAGCTTTGAAATGGGTGCTGATCAGGAAACCCCACCCATCAGTTACAAGCCAGTGACAGGGGACAAGGTATGCAAACCCTGAGTTTCTCCTTATTCTCCTGGAGGATCTAGTCACACTCCATTCGCAGAGTTGATGTGACGGTCACGTAATTCTCTTTTCACCTGGCAGTGTCTACTGTTCACAGCCACCAGAGGGATCCTTTACAAATATTTATCAGATAATCTCAGTTCCCTGCTTTAAACTGTAATGTTGGCCAGTAGTAATTATACAAAAATTATATAGGGTCTTGTGGGCTGATGGGGAGTTTGAATTTCCTCCTAATTCATCCTGTTCATGCTGGACCTTTCCTACCTTAGGTCTCTTATTCCATTCCCTCTGCCTGAAAAGGGCTGTTTCTTATTCCTCAGGATTATGTTCTGGTGTCAAAGATGCCTCCCTTTGAGCCCCAACTGGAGTCACCTCCCCAACCTTCTTTATTAGTCTCTAAAGTCTGTAGGGGTTTTATAGGCATGACTATCTGGAAAAAAAAATTATGTTTGCAACATGTGACATGTAGCTGGGTCAGGGACTGTTCTTAGTCCTCGAGTGAAGTAGATGATTTAAGTGTTTGTAGAAGGGAAGGAGGGAGGGAATGAGGGAAGGAAGGAGAAGGAAGAAAGGAAAGAAGGAAGGGAAGAAGAGAAGGAGGGAAGGAAGGAAAAAAGAATGGAAGAAGGGAGGCAGGAAGGGGAGGGAGGGAGGGAGGGAGGGAGGGATAAAGCAGATAAAGCATCTTGTGCATCCCGAGAATAAGGTAGAATTCCAATTCCCTCAAGTATTCCTGCATTATAAAAATCTCAGAGACTTTTTTCAGTCCATCAACTGTAAGATTTATCTCTAGCCACCAATATAAATTTTCCTCTTAAAAAACTGTGGATCCAGTTAGCCCTCTAGGCTCCCATTTCTTCACCTACAACTAAAGGACTTTAGGAAATTCCTGAGGTCACTGCTGGTTCTAAATGCCAAGTGCATTGGGTTAATTATGGGAGCTTCTATATCCATGACTATATCAATGACTCAGAATATTAGTGGATGTCAGAGATATATTCAGCTGCACTGTGCATTGACAAGAAGTGTCTCTTTTACTGAACACTTCTTGGGGAGATGGAGGATATGATGATAAATACTGTAGTACATAGATTTCCATCTGGGGGAAAAAATCTCCCTTTGGATTTCATCTTTTCTCCTGTCTCAATTTCAGTGGCTGGATTCTCTTGTCCTACGTCTGTTCTCAGAAGGCCTCGATGACATGCCCATCTCCATTCACTCCCTATCCCACCTTCCCTACCTCCCCTCTCCCTTATGGATCACCTAGCTCAGTTCAATAAAAGACCCTATTATTTTTTATTCCCAAAGCAATGGAGAATCTTAATCAAAAGCAGACTTTGAATTTTTACAATATTTTTTGTCTGTTACATAGCATCCTCAGAAAAGTTCAAGAATAGGGATCAACAGTTTTGAGGCCTCACTTTTGATGCGGTAGTTAACATTTTATTTATTTATTTATTTATTTATTTATTTATTTATTTATTGTGCCAGGGATTGAACCCAGGGCCTTGTGCATGCAAGGCAAGCACACTACCCACTAATTAACTTAAAAAAAATTTACCCTCATTTCCCATAGCTTTGTCTCCTTTATACTTTTTCCTTTAACTTGGAGACTAGTATTCTCATATCATGCTTTTTAAAGACTCTTCAAAGTTCACTACATGAGGAAACCATGTTCCAGGCAGGTGCTGTATGTCATCCCTCTTCTAGAGTGGAGGCTCACACCAGATTGAAGTGTCTTATCTCCTAAGGCAAAAGGAAAATTGTTTATAGACTGAGCACAGCAGTCAAGATCCCCAGGTGGTACCTCCCCCAGTCAGCTCTGCTGTGCAGAAGGAAGACATACACAAGTGCCTCTACCCAGAGAAGATCTCAAAGAAAATGATACCAGGAAACAAAATTCATTTGCCATGTGTCCAAAAACACTGATGGAGCAGCACTGCAACGTTGTGAATGGTTTCCTAAAAGTTCTATAAGTAAATCAATGTGGCTTGAGGAACTGACTGAGTTATTACCCAGCACCATCACATCATGGAGGATAATCATATCTTAATTATGATGTCAATAAGCAACTCCAAAGAGAGCTTTGACATTTTTTGCAATCCAGTCAAAGTGTTCAAAGTGTTGTTTAGAAAATATGCACATAAATGTACACACACATACATATTACCCCTCTCAAAAGGAGATGCCGAGGAGACCTAAATATAATTGGCTATCTTCATCTGATGGATCCACCACACCTGGGATTATACCCAAACACAGATGGGAAGTATTTGGAAAAAAACTCTTGAGACTTGTGCAGACCTGTTTCTCCACTAGTCTCTAAACAATACGATATAATATTTAGGTGCGTAGCATTTGCATAGTGTTAGGTATTATAGGTAATCTGGAGATAAAAGATATGGGAGAATGTAGATAGGTTATATGCAAACACTATATAACTTTATAAGAAGTGTTTTGAAAAGAAAATAAAAGAAGGGATTTGAGTAATCAAGGGTTTCGGGGTTTATGGTGTTTCCCAGAACCAATTCTCTACAGAAAAGGTACAACTGTAATATACTCTTTTTTCTAAGTATAGGAAAAGATTTGGGATTTGAGCTTGAGAGCAAATTTGTTAAGATAAAACATCAATTCACATTGTGTTCTTATAAATCCTTGTCAAGGTTTGCAAGCAATTTTATTTACATTTGTGCTCTCTTCTTGTTGTTGTTGTTGTTGTTATTGTCTCTGTCTACAGAAGTGTGTTTGCTTGACTTCAGAGACTATTGTGGGAAATCAAAATACCGACGAATCCCCACCCTCACTGAACTGAGTAAGTTGGGTTTCAAGGGCAAAATTCAAAGCAGAAATCTTTTTTTTTTTAAATTTTTTATTGTGGGTTGTTCAAAACATTACAAATTTCTTGACATATCATATTCCACACTTTGATTCAAGTGGGTTATGAACTCCCACCTTCACCCCATACACAGATTGCAGAATCACATCAGTTACACATCCATTGATTTACATATTGCCATACTAGTGTCTGTTGTGCTCCGCTGCCTTTCCCATCCTCCACCCTCCCCCCTCCCCACCTCTCCCCTCCCCTCCCCTCCTCTCTCTCTACCCCCTCCACTGTATAACCCTGAGGGTCTCCTTCCATTACCATGCAATTTCCCTTCTCTCTCCCTTTCCCTCCCACCTCTCATCCCTGTTAAATGTTAATCTTCTTCTCCTGCTCTTTGTCCCTACTCTGATCTTAGTTACTCTCCTTATATCAAAGAAGACATTTGGCATTTGTTTTTTAGGGATCGGCTAGCTTCACTTAGCATAATCTGCTCTAATGCCATCCATTTCCCTGCAAATTCTATGATTTTGTCATTTTTTAATGCAGAGTAATACTCCATTGTGTATAAATGCCACATTTTTTTTATCCATTCGTCTATTGAAGGGCATCTAGGTTGGTTCCACAGTCTTGCTATTGTGAATTGTGCTACTATGAACATCGATGTAGCAGTGTCCCTGTAGCATGTTCTTTTTAGGTCTTTAGGGAATAGACCGAGAAGGGGAATAGCTGGGTCAAATGGTGGCTCCATTCCCAGCTTTCCAAGAAATCTCCATACTGCTTTCCAAATTGGCTGCACCAATCTGCAGTCCCACCAGCAATGTACAAGTGTACCCTTTTCCCCACATCCTCGCCAGCACTTGTTGTTGTTTGACTTCATAATGGCTGCCAATCTTACTGGAGTGAGATGGTATCTTACGGTGGTTTTGATTTGCATTTCTCTGACAGCTAGAGATGTTGAGCATTTTTTCATGTACTTGTTGATTGACTGTATGTCCTCCTCTGAGAAGTGTCTGTTCAGGTCCTTGGCCCATTTGTTGATTGGGTTGTTTGTTCTCTTATTGTCTAATTTTTTGAGTTCTTTTTATACTCTGGATATTAGGGCTCTATCTGAAGTGTGAGGAATAAAGATTTGTTCCCAGGGTGTAGGCTCTTTATGATGCATAATTGATGTCCCAAGGTTCTTTTTAGAATCCACAGTCTAAGGACTGAGGAATCAGAATGGGACCTAAAGAGCTTTAAGTGCTTGGCTTAATGTCATGGTGGGTTTTTACCTGACTGCTGACTTCATCTTGAGGAGCCTATTCTATCTTGGTGTCAGGGAGCAGGAATAATATCTGACTTCTCCATTCTCCTGGATAACAAGAGAGGGAGGGAGACCAGTAACCAGCTCAGTCTTATTCAAAGGGAGGGGACATGAACTTGAAGATTGCTAGATCTCCTTGTAACTGTGTCTACCCATCATGAGACTTTTCCCCATGACTATCTACCCATCGTAGGCAGATGAAGCATTCAAGCTGCAGACTTTGAAGAGGTGCTCATTCCTGAGGTCATTAAATTTTAACTCCCAAATATCTCCTTTGCATCATCTGAATCCCAATCCTCTGTGATGTGCTTCTAATATGGAAACACACCTTGGAAAAATTACAAAATAAGCTGTAATCTCTCATCAACATCTCATGGAAAATGAACATGTATAAAACTTTCTAAGATATAAGGAGCTCTCAAGCAGGAAGCAGTGGGGTGAGGGTGGGCAGGAAAGGAGGTTTGGGTGCATTTGGAAGGTGTTGATGAAATACTGTGGGACATGCTGAGATTCATTACTGAGAAGAACTGAGGAGAAGGGGAAAAACAAAGAGGAAAATGATGTCTTATTAACATAAATTGAGCCAACTCAAAGAAGCTCTCTTAAGCTGGTCCTAGGCATGTGATTTGACTGATTCTATGATATAACAAAGTGTTTAATAGGCATTTTGTGATTTAGAACACCTAAGCCTGGTGGGACATTGGCCAAATTACATGAACAGATCTCTTAGTCCTAAGAATAAAGTAGGGGGACTTGGAGAAGAATCAGTAGTCCCCCTTTGCCACCATGGGAGCTGGAATCAAAGTGCAGCAGGTGAGAAACACCTAGTCACCTGGATCCTGGGCCTATAAATTAAGCTTTGAGCACATCAGATCCATAGGTCCCAAACTGGTACCTGCCAGCCTATTTATAAACATCTTGAGACTGTCAGCTGCAGTTTTTATTCATGTATTTTTTCTTCCCATTTTGAACTATCTTTAACTCCCTGTGTGTAAATATACTAGATTCATGAATTAGAAGACTTTTAAGTTAAAGTGGCTCAGAGATTAGATGGCTTCTTGCTAGTCCATAGGTACATCTGGTCACTCTCCAGGGACTCACAGATTTTGTTCATCCAAGTATTTTCTGGCTCCAGGCAGACCTCATCAAATTAGCCTAACAAGTCACCTGCCAGCTCACTCAATTTCTTGTTTCTTTGTCTGTGTGGAAAGGGTCATACTGACATGGGAGCTGCAGGACTGACGGTTAGCACTTTAGTACAGAAGGTACAAGGGCCTGCAAGAAAACAGCTAGGAAATGTGAGGACACTGGTTTAGAATGACACAGTGAAGTCTGGACAAAGGCTCATGGGTTATATGTATATCCTGAGGATTGGCACTGCAAGGAGAGGGAAGAGGGAGTATAGGAGATGTGGGTTGGTATTAGTCATGCCCTGCTCATCTTTTATAAAAATATAGCTGTTCTCAGAAGAAAATGATTCACTAATACCACCAGTCTGACACTTCCCCCTAACTTACTGAGAAATAATTTAAAGAATTAAGGAATAATCCAATCTCAGTAAAGAATGTATTCTGGATTGTATGTCCAGTGAATTTGCTTTGATCTGTAATGTCAAGAACTATAATGTCTAAGATTTTATCCTACTTGCAGTCTAACAAGTTAACCTGCCACTGTCTCATGGACGCTGGTAGAACATAAAACCTCTAGGTCAGAGACAAAAAAAAAAGTTTGTTACTTACAAAAATAACAGTAGCCAGGGTATCATCATTTTTGTGATGGTTGCCAAAGTTCTGTTTACCACAGAATGACATTAAGAGGTCCAAATGATACCTCCTACATCCACAGTGGATTGTTGTACAAAAGAGGAGCCTGAGTTTTGGAAAACAGAATCTTTTCCAATTGTATAGAAAGTAGCAGCTCTATCTTCAAAGCTTCTTTCTATTCAAATGTTTTTGAAGCAATAGTCCAGGAACAAAGGCAGCCAGCCCTCTGTTCTCCCCAACAGCAGCCAGTTGTATGGACTACAGACTCTGCTTACAGGAGTCTTAAGTTGTAGCCTCAGGTTATTTTGGTACTGCTGTACTGGCCTCATTAAGAAGGTTCTCTATTCAAAGCATGGTCCACACATGTGCAGCACTTAGGTGCTTGGTGGATGTGTAGATACTCAGACCCCACCCTGGACTGAGGAAATCAGAATCTGCATTGTAATAAGATTGCCAAGAAATTCTTGTGCACAGTAAATTTCAAGAAGCACTGCTTTAACTCACTCTGGGCTCAATTAACTCTAGGAACCTACATAAACACCATGTCATATAAAATGCAATGTGCCCGCCCTCCCTTTGTCCTGATGGGAAATAGCATCTCTACCTGGGTACTGCCTTTCTATCTGGACTACATGGGTAGCCAGATGTTCCTTGTTTATACCTGTTTCCCCAATGAAATTGTTCCCAGTGCCTCCTTTAGATAAGGGTGACCCCAGGACACTTCCCTGGTCAAACTGAACCTGGGGTAAAAGAATGTTCCTTTGATGGTGAAGTACTCAAGAGAGACTCGTGTTTTTAGGAGAGGACAATATTTGGAAAGGAAAAAAAAAAACAATGTAGCGAGTTAAGGGTAGAAGCCACAGAGACTCAAACATTAAGACACAAATCCTTTGATGAGCGATCACCCTTGGCCTTCCTCACACGGAAACCCTTGTCTTCTTGTCTGCCTGCCTTTCCCTTTTGCCTCTCTTGCCTTGCAGAAAATCCTTCCAACATCCACTTTATTGAGCAGATTGATGGACTAGAAGGGAACTTCACGGGAACAAGCCTGCATCTGAGCGCTTCCTTTTCCACAGGCGCTGTCTTCTCTGGCAACTTCTTGGATTCCCTCCTGGCCACAGTAAGTCCATTTAAGCCAAGAAGTCCCCCAAACCTCTTGGAGAGAGGTGAGTGGGTGGATTAAGGTTTGAGAACATCACAATTCACAATTCCGATTTCTCTTTGATTAAAAAAAAATTGCACATACATTATTTCATCTCTCCTCATAACTGCTTGAGGAGAGAAGCAAAATTTTGAGATTATCAAGATTATAAACTTGAGGCCCTGGGACTGTAACATTTGATGCTAACCCTTCAGCTTTAAGTGCATATCCACAGACCAGGGCCTTTGGTTTCAGAACCTCATGGATACTACCTTCTCTTCTCTCTACAATTTCCCAACAGCTCTTTCAGAAGTTAGCCCTAAGAGATTCATGGGTTTCAAGGAAAAAGGTTTGGCATTAGGTAGTATGAATTTTACTCAGAGTTAAGTCAAATCTTCTTCCACCATTGTCCCTCTTGTGTGATGCATTTCTGAGTACATGGTCACTGTTTAGTTTTCAGCAGCTCTTTAGCCATAAGAGAGTCACCTAGCATTCATTACAGGATTTCCATAAATAGAATCCACTTGTCATTAAATACTTATCAAACTCCTACACTGTGCAGGGATACAGCAGTGACAAAACAGACCAAACTCCATCTATGTGCAGCTTGCACTCACAGAAGAGATCGACATGACCATCAATAAGTAATGTACAAGGGATGCCAATCACAAAGACTAAGGAAAGATGAGATAGGAAATGTAGGGTTTGGGGAAGTAGTGGCAGATTTCAGTATGTGACCAGGGAAGGCAGCAATGCTGTTCAAGCTCTGGAGGAGAGGAGGATGCACACCACTCAGATCCTTGGGGAAGAAACTATACAGGCAGAGGCCAGGAGGCAGCTGCCCAGACAGTTGAAGGAATTGCAATTTGATTAAGAAATACAGGATCTGTGTGTGGCCATTTAAATTGACTTCAAAAACACCTGAAAGGAAATACACATGTTCCACTACCACAGAGTTTTCCTCCTAAGATTTTTCAGGAGAAGGATTACAAAAAGGTCCAAAGTCCAATATGCACTTGCTTAAAGGAACAAGACTCTGAGTACAGTTTGAATGTACTCAGAATGTACTTCTGGAATGCTGTGTAGAAGAGGCACCATTCTGGAATAGTATGCTTGTCTCAAAGCAGTTTGCACATTTAGGGGAATGTGACCAGGACATATATGTTCCTCTCCTGGCATCAAGGAAGGTAATATGTGGCCCTTGACTCTGCCTTTCTTAGCCATGGAAGGGTCTCGTGAACCCTAGGGAACTCTCAAACAGATACCACTGCTTCAGGAATAGTTTAACATTAAACAATTTTGTGGGTTATCAAGTTTCTAAAGGGTTAAATAACATACAGCCCCCGACTGAGCCAGAGAGGGATGCATTGGAGGGAATCAAGTCAGGTTACTTTTCTGAGAAGGTGACTCTGTCAGACAGAGTGTTGTATCACTGTCTGCCACTGATATGTCAATTAACTTGCCTGGAATTAATGACTGGAGTGTCAGGCAGAAGGTGACTTCTGATGAACTTGACCTGTCGGCAGGAGGCATTTTAGATGGGTTTAAGCTCCCAGTTCTTTTCAGAAACTCTTAAGTGGCAGGAAGCTTCATGCCTTAAATTAAACTTGAGACTTAATTAAACTCCACTGCTCCACTGGGCCACACAGGCAGAATAAAGCCACAGATTCTATTTAGAGTTAGTCAGAAGGCAGTGTCTTGGTGTTTTATACCTCTATAACAAAATACTGGAGATCAGGCCATTTATAAACAATAGAAGTTTATTTGGCTCACAGTTCTGAAGACTGGGCAGTCCAAGGGCATGGTGCAGTCATCTGTGTGGCATTTGGTGAGGTTCTTTCTGTTGTGTCATCGAATGGTGGGAGGCAAGAAGGCAATAGAGCACATGCAAAAGATAGAGAGGAGAGGGCCAAACTCATTTTTGTTATCAAGAGCCCACTACTGTAATAACTAATCCACCCCAACAATAATGGCATTAATCCATTTATGATCTCATAACCTGATCATGTCTTAAAAGTCTCACCACTTAACAGTGTTTAGTGTGGAGTGTTTCCAACATATGCTTTGAGCAGGGAGTATATTGAACGGTGGCAGGCAGAATAGATAATGAAGAGTTGGAAGAGTAGAAATAAAGGAAATGAACATACAACATAAGCCAGCATAGGAAACACAAACTTGATAATTAAGTCTTGAGCCAGGTGTTGGCGCCTAGGCTTATCGCTGACTACCATAACGCACCATGAGCGTGACCTTGACCTTGGGCAGTCAAGATGAGAAGATGATCCCTTGTTAGAAAACAAAATGAGCTACATAAAATCTCAGAAGTCTTTTCTTGGGCTAGATGGTGAAGTCCATGAGAGAGAGACAAAGTCAAGTAAGTGTGCCCTATATAGGAAGTTGTCACATGAGGTTACAAGCCACGCTGGACCATTAGCTAGCCCTTAAAGTGTCCTGATAAGTGTGTAATTTAGGACTGGCTCTTGGTCAGCTGTCTATGCAATGGGGATGGCAATGGAGCACCAGGGCAGAAGGCACCACTTATGTCAAGGAGGCTCACAGGGATAGTGAACCTCTAAATACCTATCTGGTAGCCTTCTATTCTAGCTATTACATGTATCTTTAATGATGTATGGCACAGCAAAATGAACACACTGTGGTAATGCTGAAATGCTGAGCTAAACCAGACTACCGAACATAATCAGTGAGTGCTGTCCTCTCTTGTTTTCCTTTCCTTGGATGATGTCTATCCAACCATTCACACAGAAAGAAAAACAAACCTAAGGATCAGGCTGGAGTTGTCCCTGAGCCTCCAATGTCACAGGCTCCTCCCCTCTGGGTACCATTTGATCTTGGCTGGTCTCTGGATCTTACCACCTGGTCACATGGAAATAGCCTCAGAGAAAAAAGAGAACATTCACCATCATCTACTGGAAATACCAGAACACTCAGGTGTTCTCAAATCCTACACTTTATTTTCCTTACATAACAGAGCATCTCCTGGCTGAGGTTTGGGAGGAAGCAAAGACATCATTCTTCCCATATAGTTAGGATGTCAGCTATGGGCTCCATGGCCATCATCCCCTCTAACACAGACTCATGGCAGACATCAACAAGAACCACAACCCTTCTCTCCTAGATCATACCTGCAAATCTTTCCCACGATAGACCTCTATTCGACTAATTCTCATAAATTCTGTTGTTGAGATGTTATCAATAACAATAGCAATATCAGTCATAGGAAGAGTAGTATCTTTCAAGCATTTCTCTTGTGCCAAAGACCTTGCTAAAGCATATTGTATTACCTTGTTGATTCTCCTGTCAACCCAATTAAGGAAATACTATTCTTAGATTTATTTTATAGATAAAGACTCTGAGGCTTAGAGGGGTATAATCTGTCAAAGGCCATATCACTGACAAATAAAAAAGTCCTAAGTGGGAGGCAAGATTCAACCATTCCATCTATTTTTTTTTTCATTCCTTTTATACCATAATGTCCCTGCCCCTAGAATATCTTAGGGGTTAGGCTCTTCCAACCTGATGCCAACCTCAATGTACCGAGAGATCGGGCCCCATGGCTATACAATCAGTGGGTATAATTAAACTAAAACTGTTTGTTTCCCAGATGCCCACACTAACAGGAGAGCAAAGCTAAGAGATGTCTTCAGAATAGACTCTCTCAGGAAAAGGGGGCTCACACTTCAACAAGCAAACCGTGAAATAAGAGAAGAACACCAGCCTCAACTTCAATCTTGGTGAAATATTTCCCACATGATGTTTATGGGACTGCTTCCTTCCTATATGTACTTGGAAAACTTCATTGTGACTTTCCTTCTTTCCCTCCCAATCATCCTTATAAATTCTAAGGAGAATGAATATGCAAGTCCCAGGATGCAGCAAAGCCCACAGTAATGTGTTATGAAGTAGTCGCCACTTAGAAATAATGAAGTCTTATATTTTCACACAAGTTTAAAATCTCTACATTGTGATGGATATTATATATTTTCACTGAAATATAATGGGTTTTTATCTCCAAATCTCCAACTGATACTGTTGATACTGTTGATGATATTCCCTGGTATACTACCTAAACTCCTGTCCCATTTAGAAGAATTTGTCTATACATAATTCAGATTTGCTTTTAAATCTTTATCAGTTCAGTGCTATGAAAACTAAAATATGGAAAGACCAGTCAGGCCTATGTGCAAGAATCCTACATAGCTTTACAACTAAAGAGTCTCATAAATAGACAAGAACTTAGGGAACACTTTTCCTGTACTTGTGAGAAAACTGAAGCCCACAGAAGTTAGATGAAATTCTCAAGGTCTCTCAGCTGGTTAGTTGCAATTTTCCAACCATAGAGCCTCACTTGGAGTTGAAAGTTATTTCCCAAAAGATGTTTGATCTTAAGGCCTTTGGAAAAATCTCAGAATAAAGAACAGCAGATGGCTAGGATATTAGTACGTATATTATTAGGTAATATTCCAGATTATGAAAGAGACCTCATGTTTTATTGCAGTTAAAAGCTTAAACAACTTGGGCTGCAACATTTTCTAACATTGGAAACTCAATGTTAGAAATTCTAGTATTCTAGTACATGCTATTACATTAGAATTGCATTCCAAAGTCCAAAAAATATTTCAAACACATTTTAACTTTGAAATTTTCTCGAGAAGGAAAAGAAAGAAAGCAAGCAAAGGAGGAAGAAAAGATGGAAGGGAGGGAAAGAAGAGAAGAGAGGAGAAGAGAGGAGAGGGGAGGGGAGAGGAGGGAAGGGGGGAGAAAAAAAAGTGAAGTTGAGAACGGTCAATAGCAAAAAACTCCAAATAAGAATAAGGAGATGAACTCACAGTATAAGGGTGACATATAAATCCCATTATTTTCCCCAATTTAGAATTGCAATCCTTTTGATGTCAAAACTGAAGAAATGATGTATTCAAAGGCTAAGACTCTCAGTTAAATATGTAAAGCACACGTTTCCCTAGAGCCATCAACAGCAGGATAACCCAAGAATTTACACCTTTTCTTTCATCAGAGGAGAATTATTCTAACAGTATTATGTTTGATCACTCACACTATGGCCACATGTGCTTAAACGGATTGTGGCTCAACCTGGATTTACATCCTCCATTTCCTCCTGGATGTCAGGGGGCTGATTCCAAAAGCACCTTTCTGGGTGCTAGTGGGATGGAACAAAGAGAAGAAATGCAAGTAGATTCTCCCAGTCCAAGGACTAGAGTGAAGACATCTTTTAATCCAGAAACTATGTTAAGAGTTACATTGATTTTTCTCTTAATCCATATAACTTATGTTATTTCTTAAGTCAACCTGTACCAGCTACCTCTACATTTTACTAGTAATATTGGTTTGTTAAAACTCTCCTGCCTATTTTAGACAGTAAATACCCTTACATTCCATAAACACCTGCCCCATCCAAAACAAGTACTTCTGAAGATGATGTTAAGTAGATTAAGGCCATCCTCTGAGAAAGCACATAATTTCAAGGAAGGATTTTTCTGTTCTGAAAATCAGCAGTGTCAGAATCTCTAGGGTGTTCTTTAAATTCTCTCTCCCACTTCCATTCATCAATTCTGATTCAGGAGATCTGGTATCTCATAAATCTGCGCTTGTTAGTGTAACTCCAGATAATCCAGGTACATGAAAACCAGTAATAAACGGAATAGAAATTAGTAATAGGTAGATTTCATTAAATCCTTCAAACAATGATAGAAGGTAGGTATTGTCATGTCAACTTTAAAGGAAAAAAAATGCATAAATTGCCCAAAAGTACTTGTCAAGGGTGTGACAATACAAGATTCAAACTCAGGCCTATTTCATATAAACAATTAACTAAAAAATACAGAAGAAGGAAAATAGAGTAAAAGCTAGAGGTCATGGGATCCTAAAGAGAAATAAGCTTCATTCTGATGAGGAGGCCCAAGCTGGTAAGAGATGAACAAGGTGTCTAAAAGCAAAACCGGGAGAGAAGAAAAGAATCGGTCAAGCCGCTACAGACTGACTAGTATGTGCATTGCAGTGAATAGTTAATGAAGGTGAGCCAGGAAAGGGAGGGGATATCAGATCACAAGGGCTTTGAAGACCATAATAAGGTATCTAAGTTTGAGGAAGCAGATGGCATGATCTGATTCATGATTGCAAATGAGAAGAAAACCAAGTTGGGAAAACTAGTACAAAGGTCCCTTTAGAAATTCAGGCTTCAGTCGGGTATGGTAGTGCATGCCTATAATCCCAGCACTCAGGAGGCTGAGGGAGGAGGATCACTTGAGTCCAGGAGTTCTGGGCCAGCATAGGCAACACAGCAAGACCCTGTCTCAAAAATTACCACAAACCTCATCATTCACCATCATCATCACACAGGCTTCAGAAGAAGAGTACCTGAGTTTGGCTATAGAGAAAATGAATGATAAAAATTCTAGGCTAATAACAGTCACTTATATTATTTATTATAAAAATTATTGCTTTCCTATAATTATTTTTTCTGTAATACTTATTTCTTCAGGAATAAATGTATAATATCGATTTTTTTAAAAAAAGATGGAAAGTTAAGAATGACATTTGCAAATATGTTCTTGCCTAGGCTACAGATTGTGGTAGGAATTGTGGAGAAAGGGAGTTCATGAAAATGTCTAGGACTATTTAGACTCAATCTTGTTTCAAAATAATTAGACTCACGTCATCATCTTGTTTCATTTTGATGTTAGTCATTCTAAAACCCCATACATTTACTTATCCAGAACCTATAATTTCTGAAATGTATAATAATAGTCATGGGAAATCCAAATATTAGTAAGACCTAAGTCAACGTCTGTCCTCAAGTCAGTCACAATCAAAAGGAGTATAAGTAGGCTCACATCCAAAAAATAGCCCAAGTATAGATGACAATAGTATCAGAAGTCCCCTAGGAGAAAGTCTGTAGGGTGTTCCACTAAATACACATTTTTAAAATATATATGTTGCTGATAATTACGGTATCTGTGGCTTAACGTACTCCTCTGGTCATCTGTGAAAGAAAGAAATCCTTGGTATCTATATCATTACCCACTTTCTCCTCCTTCTACAGCATAAGCTCCAAGGAAACAGGATCATGGTCCAGGTTGTTTTCTCTCAGTTGTACCTAACCCAGTCTCCTATCCAAAGTGGTTTTGATAATAATAATCACAAGAGAAGTTCTCTGCACTATCTGGTCCATGTCAAACAGTGACGTCCACTAGATCTCCAGGTCTAAACAACTCCACCATTTACATGCTGGCTGCTCTAACATTACACATGAATTGTCCTTGCCCCCCAGGCCTTCTACAACTACCATGTCCTGGAATTACTTCAGATGCTGGTGACAGGAGGAGTAAGCTCTCAGATGGAACAACATTTGGATAAGGAGAAGTTCACTGGGTTGACCGACAGCTACTCTACGTATTCGTCTGGAAGAATGCGGTGTAAACTGGGGCTTCTGTCCTTAGAGCAAACGATTTTATCAGACATTCAAGTGAGTCTACTCTTATCATACTAGATTCTCTCACTTCCTGAACACTCTGAGTTTCTGAAAATTGTGTTGGCTGTTTGGGTTTATAGATGGTCTACCACACAGAAATAATAATAGCAGTAATAAAATTAATACAATCTTATATTCATAGATTGTTTTACAACTCAGTGCATTTTCTTGTTATGTTTTTGTAGCAATACCAGGAAATAGACAGTGGAGTGGGTTAGTGATCATGAGAGTGGACTTCTGGCAAAAGAACTAGTTTAGCCCATTTACCTTCTCTTTTGCAAATGTGCTGTCTTGCCCTTCTACCTTCTGCCATGGGGTGACACAGCAAGAAGAGCTTTGCTAGATGTGGGGCCCCTTGACTTTGAACATCTCTTCCTCTGGATTGTAAGAAATAAATCTTAGATCTTTATAACTTATTCTGTTACTGTAGCATAAAATGGGCAAGAATACCTAATAACTTTGTACCTTGACAAGGTTATTACTGATAATTATAATACTTAAAGCTTACTAAGTATTTTCCCTGTGCCTGACTCCTTCAGATTTTTTCACTTAATCTGTCCAACGATTTGTACAGTAGGCATCATCATTAATTTCATTTAACAGATCAGAAAACTGAGGTTTTCAGAAGCAAGGGCTTACCTGAGGCCACCATATTGTTCAACAATGTCAGAGCAGGGTTCCATCTCAGGAATACTGTCCCAGAGTCTGACCATTCTTCCAGTAACCACAATGCTAAAGAAATCTGATCAGGTCAGCTGACATCAGGCAGAATGCTCTGTGATTAAGTCAAAGAATCACAGTGGGCTAACCAGTAGAAAATGCTTGACTTTTCTTAATCCAGGTTGCTGCTGAATGACCAATTATAGCAAAGGGAGGCGATAAGAATTCTGGCAAATTCTAGTGGCGCATCTAGGCATCAGAGTAGAGTGCAGACTGGACATGAATAATCTACTGATCAGTGTGTTGCTTTTTTGTTTGTTTATTGTTTTTTGATGCCAAAGATCAAACCTAGGAGCACTTAACCACTGAGTCACATCCCTAGTCCTTTTTTATTTTTAATTTGAATAAAGAGTCTCAATAAGTTGCTTAGGGCCTGGCTAAATTATTATGGTTAGCTTTGAACTTGCAATCCTCCTGTCTCAGTCTCCTGAGCCACTGGGATTCTAGGCATGGGCCACAACTCCAAGCGCTGGTTTGGTTTTGATTAATATTGTTATCCACCTGTCCAGTGTTATTGTTAGAGGCAGACCTTGACAAGGAAACATCTTTTTCTGGTTCAGTGGACATCAGAAAAAATTGCTCCCTTCACAAGGAGCATGGTGTTCCAGGACTCCTTGCCCAGTGTGTCTCAACATATGCTACCAAAAAGGGCACATCCTATGCTCTTTGCATTTGAAGTCCAGGTACAAACAACTTTCCAAACACTCCCACAGTATTGTCTGATCTTGTGCATTTCTGTGGACCCGGGTGCCTCATCTGCAGTTGACTAGTGAGTGATTTTATGCAGCTGGCAACCTCCTGCTGGTATCAGAGAAATAATAGATTGGTCTGCCCATGTGTCTTACCTTCACTCACTTTGCTCTTTTCTTAAGAAATCGTAGAACTGAGCAGACTGTTTTCTTTTGCCCTTTCTGAACCTATTTGTCCTATCTGCTGCTGCTTTTGAACTCATTGTCTATTTGTGATAAGTTTGTTGGCCAGAGACCAAATGTAAGAAGTGTGCTTAAGATTGTGATCTCAGTAAGAGTGGGATGAGATGACTCCCTGGAGGTCATCTAACATCCCAATCATGGACTAACTCAAAAACTGAATTTGGAACCCATTGCTCATTGTTAATTCTCAATGATGGTCACCAAATAGGAAAAGTAATAAGAATACACACGTACCACACGCATCCGAGGCTCTCAGAAGAACTTGAATGACAAAAAGAAAAGCAAATCACACAGATTAGTATCTCAAAACTAATCATCAGTTACTATAATTACCAAGTCACTAAACACTATTATCATAAATATATTAGGAAATGTCTTTCAGGTCTTCTAAAGTTGGACCGCAAAAAAAAAAAAAAAAGGAAAATAACATTTGAATAAGTGCTTGTTATTGCTTGATGAATGTGCCCAGCAGACACGTTTTTCTCTCTCTCTCTTTTTTTTTTCACAGCCAAGAACCACCTTTGGACAACTATTCTGTGGCTCATTATATTGTCTTGGAATCTTATGTGTTGGCTTATACCGCATGATAGATGAAGAGGCGCGCAACCCAGAACATAAAAGGGGAGTGTGCTAATTTGAAAAGTGCTGGCCATCCACCCAAGCAGGAGAACCAAAGCTACTTTATATGTGAAAGAGAACTCCATAGCTCAGAGTCCACAGTTATTATGGAAAGATGCTGGTAAATCATGATGTAGGAAGAAAGAAGAATAGTGTAAACAATAGGAATGCTGATGGTTAACGCCTTCTAAGGAGGATGGTGTTTGTGTCCCCAGTGAAAACTGAAATATGCAGACCTAAATTTTAAATAAGTTCTTTTGCAACCTAACTTCCATCCACGATTGTACAACTTTCTAAAGCTAAAGACATTGTCTGCATTGGAAAGATTTACTTGTTTTTTGCTGGACTCATTTTGTAAATATTTATTGAGTGCTTCTTTCCAGCCACTGTGCTTTGTGCTTATAAATCAGGGATGCACTTTGTTCATATTTCAACTTTATTAACTGGAGATCCTTCTGCCAGGAGTGTGGAAGAGAGAGGAAATGTATATAGAGGATATAAGAAAAGAAGATACCATCTAGAGACAATACAATTGTTTAGGCCCTAGATAAGATTCTCACAGTAGAATGCACAGTAGTCAATAAAGAAGGAGGAATTAAAAATGATGGAGTGGAAATAGACAATTGAAACCCATTCTAGGAGAAAAGAGAAAGAAACAAAATTATTAATGTGAATGGTCTCAAGTAAAAGAAAAAAGTCCCTGTAATTTCTCTATTAATAAGAGAAAAGGAGAAAAATAACAGATTCTTAGGAAGACCTATAATATATCTAGGTGTGAGGTATACTTTTGGGGATTTTTATTTAGTACTAAGATTTCTCAGTTCATAGGCATTGCTGAGAAAGAAAATAAAAGTAATTCAGGGAATTGAAGAAAGGTAAGACTTGAACTACTAAGAAGAATGCAATGAGGTTTAACCATGAAGCAATGCTAGACTGTAAAGAGAAAAGACAGTAACACTGGAAATCCTGAAAAAGTTAGAGTAGATATACCCAGAGGAAGGAAATGAGAGAGAAGGAATGATGGGGTGTTGTGGTTGGAGAGTGACTTACTGAAGCTTAAGATTTTTGACAGGCAATGACAATATCCAGCATGTGGCCCTGAAAATGGTTTGGAGATAAACTATCATTCGGTAGTAGAAATCATAGAAATGTGTCTGGATGACAGAGCTGTAAACCACAGAGATACTACAAGCACATAAGATGATAGTGGCTCTGAGGTTTGGGGGGAAAAATTATATACCAAGTGCCAAAGACCTAAATGAAGGTCTACAGATGGCACTGAGGAATCAGTGGGGAGGTTAATATAACTTTACAGAACTCACCGTGAAGTAAGTGCGTGAGGTGTGAGGTTATGGAAGCAATACTGAGAAGCATACTTGATTCTGGCATGCTCTTTCTCTGCTTGAACTCTAATCCCTGGCCCCAACACCTCAGGAAAACCTGTAGAACATGGTAATTGAGAAAATATGCAGTTTATACTTGAGAGGATCTCAAGGAAGGAAATGGCACTCCTGTTTTAAATGATATATGTGCTTAGGGTAAATCTTGTTTAAAATAAAATAGAGGTTACAGTATTTTCAATGGAAAGATAATAATGGATAAATTATTCAGTAAAGGAAAGTCAATCATGCATTGAGGTCCATGTTTAGGAGAGAAGTAACCATTTGGGACAGCAGTGAAGAAATACAGGGTGAAAGTCATAAGAGGTTATCCTCTCTGTTCTGTCGTGAACACTAGGTATTAATTAACTTATTTATTAAGGATTTGCTATGTATCTGATATTTTGCTAAGACAGCTTGCTTCCCTACAAAGTCTTCCTATGCAAATACAGACTTTGAATTTTCCTTAAGATTCATTGACATTCACTATTTGCTTACCAGTCAAGGTTTCAAATAGAACTTTGTGTGAAACCTGTTTGCATGAGTACTAGCTTATGGTAGGCCTAAGCCAGGATGGAAATATCTGGAATACCTGTTATCTTCCAATTTGACAGAGCCTGGCTCGGTGTTCAATTTTGTACTTACTGAATTCATTAGTGTAGTGCATGTTCAAAGAAGTTAAACCTGGAGTTAGGAAGTCCTTAGAGATCAGCAAACCAAACCACAGTCTTATTCCTTTCCCACTAAAGCAGTGAGAACAGCAAACCCCAAAAAGGGAGATTTTATTCCTAAGGTCCCCAATCCCTCCTCTAAGACTTCCTCTATTCGGTGTCCCAGAGATCTTTATTATCAATCAGAAACCAATGAAGCAAAGCAAAACAAAAGCAGTTCCTCTTTTGACCCAGCAAAATGATGTCTTTATTTTGTTCATTGCCTATAACCATTCTGTCCTAGCCACAGAAGCTCAGAATTCATCTTTGACTTTCCTTATAGGTTTGTGATTACCCGACCAGCCAATGACCTTAATTTGCTGCCTTCAGACCTTGTGTTTTGTGCCATCCCTTTCAGCACTGTCTGTGAAAAAAAGGATGGTGATTCATTTCAACCAATACATGAAGTTGAAAATATCGTATCAAGAGAATCATCGATGAATGCAAACCTAAGTTATCCTACTGCGGTTGACCCAGTGAGTGAGAGTACGCCACAGAAATTGTTTAGTTCAGTCCAATCTATGGAGGTAAAACCTTCTTTCTTTTCTGAAACTCAATAAGCAACGCCTAGTTTGAGTTTTAGGCTCTCAACCGACGCAAAGGCAAATGAAAATGTGAAAGAAAATGAAAAGGAAAACATGAAGGAAACCCTGAAGGAGAATGTGCCTTAGTGTCCAAGCTAAACTGGACCCATTGATATTCTCCACAAACTTCTAATCTGATACTAACAAGTCATCTCCAAGATGATGACTTTGTACAAAGAAAATAAAAATGGAAGCATGCCACTTTTGTGCCCATGGCTTGCTAGGTGGTTGACCAGCAAGCCACACTGTTTTGGAAGAGACCAAAATCTAATCTTGTCCCACTGGATCTGGTGTGATAAATAAAGAGATATATGATAAATGCTATTAAGAGAAATTCAATGGTCTATTTCCTTGGAGCAAAAAATGGGCTAGTTTGGGTTGCATTTAAAGAAGTCATCCAGGTAGAGAGATGCGGATTGAAATTGGAATTAATTTGTTTGTAACTAAGCCTTACGTATGTACTGGTACATAATAGGTATATAATAAGAATGACTATTAAAGCATCTTGGAATGGGATGCCTGGGTAAAGTCAATTAGATTGAAATAGGTAGACTTTCAAATTCCCTAACTCAGAAATAGAGACATTATTGCATGAAAAGTTTAAAGCATTTCCCCATAGTTCATGTTCTAAAATAAACCAATCCACTGCTCTTAAGCTTCTCTTCAATCAAGCCATTTCCCCTAGGTATTACTCTATTAACACAATAAGCAAAAGTTCAGCACATCTAAGAAATATTCACTACCAGTTGATAGTCTTGGAATGATGAGTTTGGTAAACAAAGCTTTCTTGCAAAGGGAAGAAGAAAGGGAATAATGAACTATATTTCTCATAAACTATTTTACATGATGTTTACTATATCCCTTAAATATTAGCATATTTGAGGATTTTGTCTCATTACCTTTGTTTTTACAAGGAAGAAAGTATGTCACACGTCACCAAATAAAATGGAACACACCCAGTTAAATTTGAATTTTAGATAAACAACAAATAATTTATAAGTATGTCCAAGCTATTCACTTAGCTAATCAGCAATCAAATCAACATTCAAATGGTTTGACTTGAGCACTTGGAGACATTATGCCTTCAAATGTACAAATAAAAGAAACAGAACAAACTAAAATAAAAACAAGGTCATTCATCCATAGAAAAAAAAATGCATTAGTTAAGCCTTGGCTGTAGCAAAATCAACTCAATCTATATAGAAAAGAGAGTAATTGTCAGGAAACAAGGAAATCCTTTTCCTTCCTTCCTTTCTTCCTCCTTTTTTTCTTAACTTCTAATTCCCTTTCTTCCTTTCTTATTTTCTTTTTTATTTTCTCCTTCCTTTATTCCCTCCCTCCCATTTCCTCTTTCTTTCTTCACTTCTTTCTTTCTTTCAAGGGTGCCTACATCTTCATCCTACTCTCCTTTTATCCTTTCTTTGTTTTTTCATATACATAGCACAATCTAGTTTCCTGTAATTTGAAATGTATCCGTAGAGTAATGCACACTTAACCGACTGTCTTTGAATCTCCAATAATAATTTCTGAAAGTATATGATGGCCTCAGCTTTGGCCCCTCCAGTCCAAATGCTAACACCTGAGGAGCAGGGTGCCTCTAAAGAGAGGATTGTCCTCATGAAAGGGAGGATGGCTTGTGGCCAAGGAAGACATGGCACTAAAGTCTACAACAAAGATAGCATTATTCCCCTTGCCCATTTTATACCATGGGCATTAAATATACAAAGCAGGTTTAGCAACAGCAAAATATTCCTAACAAAGAAACTGCGGTTTAGCCCTATGGATATTCAAGATCCACAAACCACTGCTATACATATATTGACCAATTTGCTTAGCACCCCGGCTTCAGTTCTCCTGAGTAAAAACCTCCATGTGATTACATTTCAACAGAGTAGACCAATTCAAAACATAAATACTTTGTTTTTTTTTTATAATTCATAGGAATAAGTTCCAGAAATCTAGCTAAAGTAATATTAAGGTATAGCCAATGTGTGAACATTCATATTACCACTCTTGATACATAAAATCATCAGGGTACCCCTAAACTCATTTGTCAAATGATTCCATACTCCAGAACCAAATTATTCACCTATAAATGACATTTTAATATGACTCATACCATCAGATCCTTTGGCAATGTAGTGGATATTTAATTCATAGTAATTATTTAACACTCATTAAGAGTAGAATCAATATGAAGACAAGGGTAAAAAGACAACAAACACATGCTACAATATTTAAAGCTTACAAATACATGCTACAATATTTAAAAATTGTTGAGGCTTTGGCATTGTCAAAACTGGATGAAAGCTACATAGTCCTTACTCAGAAAAAATTTATGTATGTGTATAGTCCACAAAATTTATTACTTAAATAGAAGGCAGGTCATGGATCCACCTATAGTCTATATCCTTGATAAAGATTTTCGTTAACCAGAAGGAAGGTCACCAGAAAGAACAGGGCAGGGGAGTCAAGAGACTTGAGTATTTTTTTAAACATCTCATTAATCATTTTTTTAAACTATTGGTAAATTATTAAACCATTCTTGGCTACTTTCTACAAATCAGGGCACACAGTAATTCATTAGGAAAAAAAAAGGAAACTTAGAGTTTTTTTTTTAAATGTGATAAGACTTTGGTCAAAAAATTAAATCAGAATAGTCATTTGGAAGTTATCCTCATAAATGAGTCAGGAGAGAAATTATTTTACTGTTTGTAAAAGGAGTATGTAACACTAGAAGATTAAGAACACTGCTTCCATATTTATTTATTGAATTTGTATATTCCCTACCACCATACATCAGGCAGGGTACTAGATGCTGAGGAAAAAGTAGTGACCAGGGAGTCAAAAGAAGTAGATGAGAACCAGGACCCTAATTAACCATCAACTACTGGGAGGGGCCACCTCATCTGTGAAAGACTCACTAGATTGCTTTCACTGACCCAAGAAAGGAGCAAGGAGATTTATCTTCACTTAGGAATGTGGGTCCAAAAAATACCAATCATGAGGAATCTCCAAGCTCATGTCATGAGCTGGTGAAGTATCCACATTTATATCATGTTATGGAAGGAGTTTAAAACTGCATAAATAATGTGAGGAAAATCTGATTGCAAACCAGCAACATTCTTGAGGTAACTAGTTGAAATAAATCTTTGAAGGAAATATTTCTACAACTCAGGACATACAGGACTCCATCAAGAAAAAAAGAAAAGTAAGTTCAAAACTTCAAAAAAATGAACAATAATCTCATAGTAGAAAAAGTAAATAAATTAGAAATGACATGAGAAAGTCATGATTCTCATAAGTGAGAGATGGAAGATAAATCAAACTAGGTTAGCATGACCCCAGACTTTGGATATTAGAACAATCTGAAAAAGACCATAAAATTGCTGTATTTAATATGATGAAATTATTTTAGAATATGATTACAAGTCATAATGAAAGAAGAGGTAACTGTGAAAAAATGAACAGGTAGACTTGAAAAGAACCAAAATTCCAGAAATAATTAAATTAAAAATTAAATTTACAAATTGAGCAATAAATTAGATAAATATAAAGAATGTAGCTAAAATTCATGTTGAAGAGCGAATGGAAAATATGAATGAGAGGTTAAGAGACAATAGATGGAAAAATATGAAAATGTACAATATACAAATCATTCATTTCCACAAAGGCAGAATAAGAAAAATGAAAAAAATCTTATACAATTTAGAATTAATAAATGACAAGAATTCTATGATTTAAGAAGTCTAATGAATTATCAGCAGGAAAATTAAAACAAATTTACATGTATGTATATCTATATCCATACCTAGAAAAGATAGCAGTTTTTTTCTAAGGAGATTGTTACTGAGAAATTGAAGGAGAAAAAAGATAATGGACTAGCAACATCAAAAATAATAGGGGTGGGGTTGGGGCTGGGGCCCAGTGGTAGAGCACTTGCCTAGTATGTGCAAGGCACTGGGTTCAATCCTTAGCACCATATTAAAAAAATATAAAGCCATGCTATCTATCTACAACTACAAAAAAAGTTTAAAAAAATAAAGGAGATACAAAAGTATACTATACTACCTATGTTGCCACTCAAGAGGGGAAGACATAAATGATTACCATTTTAATGACTGAGAACACATAACTTAGAGACCTTTATTGAAAGAACTAATAAAAAATATATTTCAGTAGGAAGAGAATGAACTTTAAAAGATGGAGTAATACTTAAGAAACTATGATGAGAAAATAATTGAAACTTATTATAAACATACATCAGTTATAGTAATAATGGTAATAACTTGGGAAGAGTTAAAAGTAAATTAGCACTAACAAAGAAATAAGAGAGGATATGAGAGAGATGATCAAGTAAAATTCTAAAATTGTAGCATTTTTCAGAAGGAGCATAGAGATAATAATTGACTTTAACATCAAACAAATCACATAAACATTTAGATAATAAACCAGAAAAACAGGATATGACTTCTATATCAGCTGAGAGAAGCTAATCAGAAAAAAAGATGAAAATAGAATTTAAAAACAGTAACAATTTAGAATTTTTTTTAAAATTAATGAATTACATGTAGAAAACAAAATTTAAAAGATAGTGGTAATTGTGAACATATGACATTAAACAGATGTAAATGAGTTAATCTTGTTAGGTAAAGGACAGATTTTCAGATTATACTTTTAAAACAGATATATACTAGTTATAGCAGAAAATAGGATTCAGAAAATGTAAAACTGAAAATAAGTAAAAAGATATGCTAGAAAAATATGGACATTTGGGTTGTTTCTATTTGGGGGCTATTATCAATAATGTTGCTTGTGTAGACTAGGGTACAAGTTTTTGTGAGAACATTCAAGGATTGTGAATTGTTATGCACATGTAAAGGCCTTGCAGTACATAAAACAAAAGCAGTTCACAATCATTGAGCAAACCACAATCCTAGAGAAGGACTTTAACATACTTTTCTGATAAACAAATAAATCAAACAGAAAGATATTAGCATATATAGAGATAATGTGAACCACATAGTTAACTGGATTGAA